CCATTCATTTAAACCAACTTATTTGCAGACGCCCCCTTAGTACAATTTTGTCACGTATTCAAAAATGTATACTTTTTTTTTATTTTCAATTATTTCTTTTTTATTTATCATTTATGTTATCTTGATTCACTTGACCTGAAGTGCTGCATAGAAGTAAGTAATCATGCTGTTGTACTTTTCCGTTTTGGCCACCAGAGGGCAGCACTCCTCTGTTTTGGACATGATTCTACTTCCATAAGCAGAGAAGGATTCTCCCGGTGAGCGGCTGGTTTGTTGTTTGAACTTCACACACAACACGACAGAAAAAAAAACACACTCATGGTAAGTGGAGACGTTTTCCAGCTTCCTTCACATCAGCAGTCCTTCTGAGTCTTCCAGTTATCTTACAGTCGTTAGTCAAAGCCAACCGCAGCTACGGAAACTTGACCTGTTTCACATTTAGCATGGTCGCATTAACACGATCAGCCTCCACATAGACGTTGCACCTAATTAGCAAGTTCACTCAGATCAGTGAGACACAATCACGTAGTAAAGCATTACACTGTGAACTAAAATGCAACTACAGCTCTATGTCTTGTACATGACTTTATTTACTTTGAAAGCTGTTTATTTTATGGCGAGAAAACATTCAGTGCCAGTCGCTAGTTAGCATTGCTGCTGCTAGCTGAGCTAACCCTGCCGCTCACTCCAGGGATGAGTTGGAGGTTCGTAATTCACCAGAATGTGGATTTATTTTTGATGATATGTTGATGATATATTCAAAGACGAGAACGTAAGCAGAGCAGCTCGATAACGTTTATTACAGCTTGGCTGACATTAATGGTATTTTGAGAATCATGAAATTCTTTTGTTAAAATCACCTAAGGCTTTAGTTTTGCAAGAGGTTGCTTATCTGTAATTATTCAAGTCCAGTATTTAACTGGTCAGACTTAATCCAGAAAGATGAAAGTTTGTTTGCTCAGTGTAATTTTTTCTTCTTCTTCTTTTTTTTAACTAAATCCAGGTCTACACGAACAAACCAGGCACATTTTAAGATTGTTTATTTTCTTCTGTTAATAAAAATGAACAGTTTTAACCCTCTGGACTTCAGGCATTTTCTGTGTGCTTTTTTGTTGTTGTTGTTGATTGGAATCTTAATATTTAAATTGGTCTGTTAAATTAATTCAGATTTAACTTAGTCAGGTACATTTATGGAAGAAAATATTCCAAAAATGTAAGGCATGTGATATTGTAGGGATTTAACCTCAATATTTGAATTAGTCAGGTAAATGCATATGTAAAATTATTATAAAACACAATAAAAAAAGTCTTAAAAATGTTTGTTATTGTCGAATCTTAACCATTAAATGTAAGTTAGTCTTGTAAATGTACATAATATATAAATGTAAATATGTATTCAATTAAATATAGTAAAATCCTAACAATAGTATTTAAGTTACATCAGTTTATATTGAATATAAGATCCTCAGGTCCTAATAATATATGAATTACTCAGATAAAGTTGGATTCAGTGTAATACTGTAGGGTTTAGCCTTAAAATTGAAGTTTATTGTGGTAAATTTGCATAATATATAATTTTCGAAGGTCTTAATATTTAGGTCAATCTGGTAAATTTGTATAATATATAATATTGCAGGGTCTTAAATTTATTATGTCCATGTTTGGTAAAATTGCATCGAACAGTTTTGTCGGGTTTAAACTTTATGATTTAAGTTAATCGGGTAAATTTATATACGATACTGGAGGTTCTCAACCTTGACATTTAAATGAGCCAGGTAAATCTGTATGATATATAATATTGAAAAGTATTAACCCTGATACGTAAATTAGTCAAATAAATGCATCCAATATACAATATGAGTCAGGTAACGTAGTATAAAAGCTCATATTGGAGGGTGTTAATGTTAATGTTTAAATCTGTCAGGGAACTTAACATGAATAACATTAATGTTAATACTTTAAATACATAGCGTTTATATATTATTATTTCTCTATTGTACAACATTTGTTATTTTAAATGTGTTCTCTAACTCACAGTGACTGATTTAGTGTCAGTTCTTTGCAAATATGTTTATCTTTTGTGTTTTTTTATCTTTTCCTGTTTCCACCCCCGACAGTGTTCTGCAGTGTTCCACCATTTGTCACGTAAAGCCACCTGAAGCTGCAGGTAGCTCGTCCTGCGTGACTCAAAGTTAAAACTATTTCACTGATACAAGCTCGGGCGGCCAAATGCTGCATTTTTTTAGTCGCCGTTTGCATCTTAGTGATCATCTGCCCCAAACCCAAAACACTGGACAGAGTTTTGTCGTTTTCCGAGCGGTGCTAAAAATGAATGACGCTCCTGTGCTAGCGTTAGCCTGCTCTGGTTATGCTGAGACTGCTCAATGCTGAGCTCCATTGAGAAGAGGTTTAAAGGGGTTGAATGCCTTCTGCTGAGGCAGGGCATCCACCCACCACTCTTTACATGCCCTCTGGCGTGGCCCGCTGGCCTTTGTGTCACCCAACAATGATGGCAGCAGAGCACCACAGTGAGGGGAACGTCATTGTTCCCCGTCAGCCAATGGGAACCCCACAAATTTATGTTATGTGTGAGTTTTTGTGCATATGTGTGTGTGCGTATGGTAATGCAAAGGTGAATGCATGTGAAAGTGAATGTCTCTTTCACACCAAGCATCTCCTGTGTGACGAAGGAGAGGGGGGACGTCACAAAAAAAAGGAAGAGCCAATCAGGTATTAGCTGTTTGGATTTATGCCAGGGTCTTTAGGCTTGTATGACTTTAGTACAAGGGGCAAAAGCCAGTTTTTTCAAAAAAAAAAAGTCAGCCGAGACGACGAGATGCCGTATACGCCGTCTGGCTTTTTCTGCGACCGGCTGATCCGGGAACGGGAGCGCAGGGACGGGGAAGGGTCCCTGAACAAGCCCCTGCGCTTCAACGGGCAGGACTTCAGCAACCTGAGACAGGAGTGCCTCCAGAAGAAGAGCCTGTTCGAGGATGACTCCTTCCCGGCCACCGTGGAGTCGCTGGGCTTCAAGGAGCTCGGACACAAGTCTAACAAGGTCAAGAACATCGTCTGGAAGAGGCCCAAGGTAGGAGGGGTGGGCACATGGAGGGGCACGCTGATGGCAAAGTTAAATCAATAGGGGACGGGAGGTGGGACGTTATTTTTCATACACGGCAACATGAAAGTGACCTGATAAGGATTGAAAACTAGGTGCTGCTGTGGGATTTTACCTGGAGGTGCAGCTGGGACTGAAACCATCAGTCCTACACGGTTTTACTGCACAACTAGAGAGTTTTTCCTGTTTTAGTGGCTTCATACTTCCACTTTAATGGATGTTTGAGAGCCTGTGCAGGACATAAGACTGTCAATCCTCAGGTTACAAAAGTTCAGATGATATGAGGTTGACTCTTAGTAACTGAACTTGTGTTCACTTTCTGCAGGAAATCTGTGAGAACCCTCAGTTCATTGTCGGAGGAGCCAGCAGGACAGACATCTGCCAGGGAGATCTGGGTAAAATCAGCTTTTTATGCTTTTGACATTGACATTCTCTTCATTTTGGTAACACTGAAGGGAAGAGATTCATCTTTAAACCCTTAAACATGGTCCTGTCGGTGCAAAAACTCCCTCGAAAACTTGCTACCTGAAGCAAAACTACACAAGACATGTTCGGGCTGCTGTGATAAGCACTGTTCGGGCGATAACAGGGTCGCAAACATCCCATCGGTCCCCCCTGCAGCGGCCTCCCCGCATATTGTGCTTACTCTTTTGGAAGGGAATCCAACCAGCAGCACTTCTCATTGTTGTTTCGTTTGGACGGCAAATAAAAGGGGACCAAAGGGACAAAGGTGCTGGCAGACGTTCCCCGTTGAAAAACTTACATTGTTCCGCCGGCCGGCAGCTAAAAACACACACTGACGCACACCTGGACAATCGAAAAAGCACAAACGTCAGCACGCAGCGGAGGTCTTTTCCTTCTGCAAAACAAAACGTGTCCGGGGGAGACGTTCCTCTTGGTCTTTGGTTTGGTTTTTAGGGAGTTGTTCTTAGCTTTGGTTGGTTTTGTTGAATTAAGGAAAGCCAAAGCATTTGCAACGATATAGATTTGGAATCAATTTAGTTCCGTTTTATTGATATGCCGCCAACATGTGTCGCCTCAAGGCCTTCACACAGTAAGAGAAGACCTTAAGAGGTTTAGATGGAGAAACCCAACAAATCTGTTCTAGCAGCAGCTGTGGGAAAGAAGAAAAACCGAACCACCAGTAGAACCAGGCTCAGGGAGGGCAGACGTCTGCTTTGGTCCGAGGTTAAAGCGGAGAGTAGAACAGGGTAGCAGATAGAAAACAGACAATAAACACATTGGAGATGAGTGAGGCTAGTAGCTCCAGATACAGAGATACCTGCAAAAAGGAGAAAACACACAATACAGAGAGAGAGAAAGCACCAAGTTAGTGACATGTAATTGTGGTATATACATGTATGGAAAGTAGAGGAGAGGTGCATTATGGGAAGTCTTCCAGCAGCCTAAGCCTAGCATGACGGTAAAGGTGAATCTGAGCAGCTTCACCTATAAGATCTACCAAATTTTTAAGTTTTAAGCCTAATCTTAGTATTTTAGAAGGTGTCTGCCTCCTGAACCCAAACTAAGAGCTCACTCCACAACAGAGGAGCCTGATAACTGGAGGTTCTGCCTCCTTTTCTGCTTCTGGAAACTCTGGGAAACACAAGTAAAGCTGCAGTCTGAGACTAAAGGCCTCTGTTAGGATGATATGGTACAGTGAGGTCTTTGCGATAAGAAGAAGTTTGGTCATTGAGAGTTTTATATGTGAGAAGCAGGATTTTACATTCTATCCTGGATTTTACAGAAGAGAAACTAACATGGGAGACATATGATGATCTGTTACTGGTTCCTGTCAGAACTCTGGCTGCAGGATTTTGGATCAGCTTTAAAGGGAATTATTGGGTTATCCTGATAAAGTCCAGATAAGAAGTTACTAATGCAGGGACTAGTTTTCCAGCATCACTCTGAGACAAGACATTCTTGATTTTGTGATTTTGACAATTCTGGGCAGAAGAAAGAAGGTTTGATGTGTGAGTTTAAGGACATACTTTTGTCAAAAATAACTAAAAGTTTCCTCACAGTGTAACTGGAGGCCAAGGCAACCCCATCTAGAGTAACTTTCTGGTTATGTTGTGTGTTTCTTAGGGCCAAGTCACAATAACCTCCCTTTACATTTAGAAGAAAAGAAGAAAGTCACAGGTCAAGACATGCTTGGAGTTTGACAAACTTATTTGCTTCATCTGCCTTCTTGGCGTCTGGGTGTCAAGGAAGCACTAAACATATTTTTCTTCCTATTCGAGCAGCACTAGTGCACATTTTTAAATACTTTTACCCCATGAGGAGCATACTAACTGTTATAAAAAGCCATTTGAAGTTATTTTCTGTGTGTAGGTGACTGCTGGTTGCTGGCTGCCATCGCCTGTCTCACCCTGAATGAGAAGCTTCTGTACCGAGTGGTTCCTCAGGAGCAAAGCTTCTCAGAAGGCTACGGAGGCATCTTCCACTTCCAGGTCAGAAACAAGCACCTCAGAGGTCCTAACGCTGAGTTTACCACTTTATCCTCTTAAAATCAAATGAACTGACACAAATAGGGAAAGCAGCATTCATGAGGGGACTTTAAAGCTGCAAGTATTCGTCAATAAATCTGTTAAAAGAAAATATATTAGCTTTTTTGATAATTATTATATTTTATATTATTATTTTGTACATTCTTAACACAAAAGTGCTAAATATGTGTTGGTTCCTGCTTCTTATGATACTGAATTTGAGTATTAGACATCATTTAAACTTTTGGAAAATATACAGGGAATTTTAAAAAATGATTTTCCAACATTAAATAGACCGAGTAAATCAAATAGCTGAGAAAATAAGCAAATTCGTTACTTGCAGGTCTCCCAGGTAGATTTTCTTTTGTTATGAAAACATTCTTTTTTGCAAAGTTCAAGTTATGTTTTCGACCTCCTCAGAAAGAACGTTCTTAGTAAACATGGGATAACATTTGCCCGATCCTGCCTTAAGAACACTCTTCCTTTGTTATCGTGTCACTTTGTATGAATGTTTTTTTTCAGAAGAACCTTCAATAATCTGTAACATTCACACAACATTCTCAGAATATTGCAGGAAAAATGTTCAACCTTTGTTAATATACAACGTCACAAAACCGTTTTATAAAAAAATGAAGCCTCAGTAACATCTTGGAAACATTTTTCTAACGTTGGTTTGCTCCTTTGTTATCATGGCCCTGAAAACATCCCATCCTAGTTAACCTTTAACTTCATGTGAACACCATTTAAAATGATAAATATCCTTTAAATCTGTCTTTTGAGTATCTGATTAAGGCATTATTAGAAGGTAATTGTAGGTAATGTTGTTGGACTATTCCCTTGTAGCTGGGTGATTGGACTTCTAATATTACTCAACTGTCATTGACAAACAGAAATATTCTTGTTGAAGCTTCTTTGATTCCAAAGTTGATTCAAAGTTTGTACAAGTTGAAGAAATGTCCTTTAACACTTGGTCCTCCGTGTTGATTCTCCTCACTGACTTCCTTCTGTCCATCAGTTCTGGCGCTATGGCGACTGGGTCGATGTCGTCATTGACGACCGCATCCCAACCTTCAACAACCAGCTGGTTTTCACCAAATCCGCTGAGAGGAATGAGTTCTGGAGCGCCCTGCTGGAGAAGGCCTACGCCAAGTGAGTGGTTTTACTCTGCAGAGGACAGCGAAGCTTTGAGATGCTTTCTGGTTCAGTTTTCACTAAATGTTACATAAAGCTGCATTTGTACATCTTCACACAGCACACAAAGTTATTTGATGTATGTCACAGTTCCTGAAATGACAACAGTTAGGTTTCACTCTGCCTAGATTGTCACTGGAGTACAGATTTATAACTTAGACAGTTGGGACAGTTCATTATCATTTCCAGCTACATAGTTTCCGTCAGTGATTCTTTGTTTTTTTTTGTTTTTTTTTTTACATGTACTCACCCTTGATTTAACCAAGAAAAGATTAAGAATCTCTTTTTTACAAGAGCATCCCAGCCAAAACAGACAACAGCACAGATGAAGAAATTAAAGACGTACAGATGTTTGACAATTTAAATAAGGTTTACATAAAGATTGAGAGTTTTTTACAGTGTCCTAAAGTTGCAAAAAATAGTCTCTACCGTCATCACTGTCAATGATGATGCAGAATGTGTCTCCCTCCAAGTCATGTAAAGTTGCATTAAAGTCAGTTAGTGAGATCAGCTCTTTAAGAGTCAAAGATAAGATAAGATAAGATAAGATAAGATATGCCTTTATTAATCTCACAGTGGAGAAATTCACATCGTTGACAGCAGCTTTCAACAGACGTACACAGATACGACACAGGAAAAAACAAAAAATAAAAAATGTACATATAAATATCAGAATATCAGAAATAGTGCAAACATATCAGAAATAGTAATTTTAATAAGTAATTTTAATTCCAAGCAAAGACGTAATTCCTGTTTTCCCAGTGCAGTACATGGTCTGATTGATATACAAAAGTCCACATATACTCATAAAGACCATGTATATCATGACAGTCTTGAGTTTCCAGTGATTCCTACAACTCAGAATTTTCTGTGATGAAATCTTTGAATCTTTGCATCGTTGTCACACACACACACAAAAAAAGACAGTCCTGCATTTTGGTTCTTTCATAGGTTTATTATAGGTTTTCTGGAAGTATGACAATCTGCTGGGTCAAAAATACACATACAGCTACTTGATTTATCAGTTTTGGTGACGTTTAAAGTTTTCTCAGTAGCATGACCTCTGGCCTTTTTGTGCCTGATTACAGTTGATTACAGCTGCTGACTCCTCTGAGCCAATTTAAGAAGGATCCATTTGATCCACTCATTAGACTCAGCCACAAACACTACAGTGGGGAAGTCTGAGGAGCTCAGCAAAGATTTGAAAAAGCAAATCATTGATTTGAACAAGGCAGGAAAATTCATTGAAAGGAGCTACAGAGCCTAAAATCCCAAAACAGTATAAAGTGCAGAAAACACAAACTGTCACCTGCCTCTATGAAGTTCTGACTTAAACCCCATTAAGAACCTGTGGACTGTGATGAAGAATTAAGCCTTTGTCAGAAAGATAAATTTAGTTGAACTGCACCAATTCTGTCAAGAAGAGTCAAAACTACAACCAGAAGCTTGTAGATGGAAACCAAAAGTTCAGAGTTGTAGGAGCCGTTGGAAAGCCAAGCCTCTGTGACGTACATGGTCTTTACAAGTGTATGGAAACATTTGTTGACAACTGTAGACCCATAGATGTGAAGGAAGCAGACCAAAAGTGGCATGTATTGTATATTTTGATATTCTGTACTTTAATATTTTACTCACAGTCTTTTTTCAAATCTTACACATTCATTTCAACAGTCTAACCTACTCAGGGCTTTACTGATGAATCTAAGTTGGACATGCGTACCAGTTAAACAGCCAAAACCTGAATCCAACACGTCTCCTGTCTGTCTGTATCCAGGCTTCACGGCTCCTACGAGGCCCTGAAGGGAGGAAACACCACCGAGGCCATGGAGGACTTCACTGGTGGAGTCACTGAGTTCTACGAGATGAAGGAAGCTCCCAAAGAGCTCTACAAGATCATGAAGAAAGCTCTGGAGAGAGGCTCGCTCATGGGCTGCTCCATCGACGTGAGATGTGTTTTTTCTTTGACTTGACTTCATCTGGAAGTCGTGACTCAGGGTTTCAGGAGACTTACAGGTCCCATGTTAAACCTCTTTTCAGCAAATTAATGAAAATCTCATGTGTTCCCAGAATGAGTCCTTTGATATTTTTGCTCAAAATACTACAAAAATGGTTCATTTTACCGTGATTGTATAACAGCTTGTTCTAAACTGGCTGTTTCAGTGTCTGTAGCTTTAAATGCTGCTGATGTCCAGGAAGAAAACTCTCTCTGCATCTGTGATTGCACAAAAGACGACAACAGAGTGTGTTAGACTGAGCCTTTCTATCGCTTCTAACTCTTATAGCAATTATTCAACATGGAAATCTCACTGAATTCACAGCACAACATAGTTTTTAAATTGTGTGCTTGACGAGTTTGTCAGATGGTGTTGCAGTTAAAAAATTGTGATTTCAGGTTCAGAGTAGCACCTTGGAAGTGACTGCTGGTTAATATGTAATTTCAATTGATCGCTTTTTAGTCACTATTTTATACTTGATAGATAGATAGATAGATAGATAGATAGATAGATAGATAGATAGAT